AGTGTCACTGACGTCACAGTGATGTATAGTAGCTACGGGCCAGTGTCACTGACGTCACAGTGATGTATAGTAGCTACGGGCCAGTGTCACTGACGTCACAGTGATGTATAGTAGCTACGGGCCAGTGTCACTGACGTCACAGTGATGTATAGTAGCTACGGGCCAGTGTCACTGACGTCACAGTGATGAAGCACATTATCCACAGTAGTGTTCTTATGAACCTTCGTCATGACATCCTCTTCAGCGAACAGCATGGGTTCATGTGAGAGTTGAATAGTCCGGACAGTGACTATAGACAACATCCCTGGTAGTCTCGACAATGCTGAACAAGTTGATGGAATTCTCCTTAATCTGTCAAAACCTGTTGACAGAAGCTTACTGACATTGATATTTTCGTTCCACACTGAGAACATGAAACTTACATGTACCAGTGTAAGTTAATGTGAAATCAACATCTGCTCGTCACATGACTTAACTCTGATAATTTGCATCACATGACTTAACTCTGTTGTGTTGAGTCATATGGCCGACACTGATGTGTTGTGTCACATGACCCTATGCTGATATGTTATGTCACATGACCCTATGCTGATATGTTATGTCAGATGACCCTATGATGATGTGTTGTGTCACATGACCCTATGCTGATATGTTGTGTCACATGACCCTATGCTGATATGTTGTGTCACATGACCCTATGCTGATATGTTGTACCACATGACTCTGTGCTGTTATGTTGTGTCACATGACCCTATGCTGATGCATTGTGTCACAAAACTCTATGCTGATATGTTGTGCCACATGACCCTATGCTGATATGTTGTGTCACATGACCCTATGCTGATATGTTGTGTCACATGACCCTACAATACTCTGTTATCAATTTGTGAAGCCTATGGAAATAAAATTCAAATGAAATATGCACTTTGTAGATACACATGTATTTATATGTCGACATTAATTGGTGCAGGATACTGTTCGCAAACTGCTGTAATTATTACCTTTCGTACGTGTTTCTCTTTATCACATCATCTAAATTCATTGCTGCATTTGAAATGCCATTGTCAACTTTCCTGATATTCCTTGGTAACAGGGGGAGAAAGAAAGTCATTAACGATGTAGGTTTGGGGTGTGGGGACATTCTACTCTTCAGGTAAAGCCTCGTGGTTGGTGACCCAGTTCAAGTTCTACACCCTCAGATAGAATTTCCTCTAACAATATGATCCTCTCTTTAAAGTCATTAGTGTCTGTAGCTAACATTGCAGGAAACACTATTGAGTTGACTTGGCCCTAAGCGTCCTATAACGCAGCCCAGTGGTTTCAAATACCCAACCTGCAATCTCGTAAAAGCCTACTTCCATTATATCCTCCTTTGTTGTTATTGGTTTCTCTGTAAATAGAACACTCTGTATCCATGGATACTGTTTATCACGATTAGTTCAAAAGTCTGTATCAACGAGGACAATTAAGCAATGAATTGTGTTGATATTGCATTTATAGTCTATATGAACGACATCGCTTTGCAAACAAAAAGCACAGTACAGTGTGTAATTTAGTGTGCACTATGTTTTGTTTACCTGCAAATTAAGTTGTGTCATTCATATAGACTGTAAATGCAATATCAATACAGTTCAATGCTTAAATATCAACATTTTTGCAATTTTTTGATATCTTAAAAAGGGAATATATTTAATTCTACATATGGTTTAAGTTAGTGTATGTAACATGTATGAGGGTTAGTGGTATATAACTTTACAATTATGACGTCATTGTTATTGTGATGTAAACATGTCATCCAGTGAATCTCGGTGAACATGCAGCAATTTCGCCGCAATATTTTGGCACTTATTGCAAGAGACTCAATATTTCTGTAAGGGGACTACTCAGACTGCCATTGCTCCAATACCTAGTGCTCCTCGAACTCTAATTTATCCCTGACCACTCAAAACATTAGTATTTAACAGAACAGAAAAACATTTAAAATCCTTGTGATGGTTAAATACAAATAAAATAAAAGACAAGAGTTTCTTCGTCTTCCCTAGCGCTTTCTCCTCTTTAGAAGTTCATCAGGGGAATTGTGGTGTAACCAGCGGTGATAAATACCCATCAATTCGCCTAAACAAGCCCTATAAGGCAGAAAGGCCTAGCGGTAAATTTGACAGATTTATTATTTTATTCTATATATATATATATATATCTCTAGTGGCATGTAAACAAGGGATGACCTGGCGATTACAGATGAGGTGTTGACATAACCTGTAGTAACACTGGCGACAACATTGATCGGGCCTCTATCAAAGACGGACATCACAAAGAGCATATTGATTATGTGTCGGTGAACCTGTTGATTTCCCACGAAGCTGTGTAGTTATACAGCTACACCTTCCAGCAGCTTGTCACAGGTAATTAGTACCTGTAACACTAGTGTTTGATGTAGACAGAGAAATGTCAACTTTGTCTGCATCACACACGAGCCTGATTCATTATTTTTCTCCCACTCCTTCCTAATATGAAAAAAGGTTGTAATGGTGAACTAGATGTACCGAGCCAACGCACTAATCATTAGCATGACTCTTAGTCTGTGCTTAATGAAGTAATGACAAGTTTCTGATATTTTCATATCCTGATTGGTAATCGTGTAATCCTGATTGGTTATAATGTAATCCTGATTGGTTGTTTTGTAAACATGATTGGTTATAATGTAATCCTGATTGGTTGTAATGTAATCCTGATTGGTTGTTTTGTAATCATGATTGGTTATAATGTAATCATGATTGGTTATTTTGTAATCATGATTGGTTATAATGTAATCATGATAGGTTTATAATGTAATCCTGATTGGTTATAATGTAATCCTGATTGGTTATAATGTAATCATTATTGGTTATAATGTAATCCTAATTGGTTATAATGTAATTATTATTGGTTATAATGTTATCATGATTGGTTATTATGTTATCCTGATTGGTTATAATGTAATCATGATTGGTTATAATGTAATCATGGTTGGTTATAATGTAATTCTGATTGGTTATTGTGTAATCCTGATTGGTTATAATGTAATCCGGATTGTTTATTTTGTAATCATGATTGGTTATAATGTAGTCCTGATTGGTTATAATGTAATCCTGATTGGTTATAATGTAATCCTGATTGGTTGTTTTGTAATCATGATTGGTTATAATGTAAACATGATTGGTTATAATGTAATCATGATTGGTTATAATGTAATCATGATTGGTTATTGTGTAATCCTGATAGGTTAATCCTGATTGGTTGTTGTGTAATCCTGATTGGTTATTGTGTTATTCTTATTGGTTATAATGTAATCATGAATTGATGTGTTGTAGGATATGTTATCATGTTAGCCATACATGTCTTGGTTGAATAATCTGTTTGGTGAACAAGAAATTATTAAATCAATCCGCGGTACCTCATCATTATATTACATAACACATTGTACAGGAACATTCTGTGGATGAGTTTATTGGACGACATTGAAGTCTTTGTTGATTTGTTACAGAGACGGACCTAGATGTGACACAGTAGTGGACTTCTCTAACGAGGAGTTCATTTCTGGCTTGTCCTGCTCTCCTAGCATTTCGCTGTTGGAAATTTTAGTAGTATCCTAATAACACTGTTTGTGTGAATGATATCAGTGGTATTGATTAAAGATATTATAACAGAGTTGTTTTGATGCGTCCTCTGATATTCTCTGGGATGGGGATCAATTACAAACAATGAGAGCTGTAGGTAGCTGATATCTATGACAGTGACGTGGATTACCTGACCTAACTCTCATGTTTGTATGGTAATCAGGAATGAGACTGACATGGTTAGGGAAACATAGAGGATGTGACACTCAAATAAATGATATTAATGTAGAGAAACTTGATTTGTATACGGTGGATTGATTCCGATGTGTTTGAAATGTAAGACATGACAGCGAGGATGGGAATGTGTAGTGTTTACAGTCGGAGATTACAGCAAGGCAACGGCCATAACATACTCATCAACGGTAAGTCTTCACTGTCACCTAGTGACATCAGGTGCAACTAAAACTGTCACTGTAAACTTATGACATCAGATACACTTAGAGCTGTCAGTGTTACCTGGTGACATCAGGTACAACTAGAACCATCAGTGTTACCTAGTGACATCAGGTACAACTAAAACTGTCATTGTTACCTAGTGACATCAGGTACAACTAAAACTGTCACTGTAAGCTGATGAAATCAGATACACTTAGAGCTGTCAGTGTTACCTGGTGACATCAGGTACAACTAGAACCATCAGTGTTACCTAGTGACATCAGGTACAACTAAAACTGTCACTGTAAGCTGATGACATCAGATACACTTAAAGCTGTCAGTGTTACCTGGTGACATCAGATACACTTAGAGCTGTCAGTGTAACCTGGTGACATCAGGTGCAACTAAAACTGTCAGTGTTACCAGGTGACATCAGATACACTTAAAGCTGTCAGTGTTACCTGGTGACATCAGATACACTTAGAGCTGTCAGTGTTACCTGGTGACATCAGATACACTTAGAACTGTCAGTGTTACCTGTTGACATCAGGTACAACTAGAACTGACAGTGTTACCTGGTGACATCAGGTACAACAAGAACTGTCAGTGTTACCTGGTGACATCAGATACACTTAGAGCTGTCAGTGTTACCTGGTGACATCAGATACACTTAGAACTGTCAGTGTTAACTGTTGACATCAGGTACAACTAAAACTGTCAGTGTTACCTGGCGACATCAGGTACAACTAAAACTGTCAGTGTTACCTGGTGACATCAGATACACTTAGAGCTGTCAGTGTTACCTGGTGACATCAGGTACAACTAGAACCATCAGTATAACCTGGTCACATCAGGTACAACTAGAACCATCAGTGTTACCTAGTGACATCAGGTACAACTAAAACTGTCACTGTAAGCTGATGACATCAGATACACTTAGAGCTGTCAGTGTAACCTGGTGACATCAGATACACTTAGAGCTGTCCGTGTAACCTGGTGACATCAGATACCCTTAGAGCTTTTAGTGTTACCTGGTGACATCAGATACACTTAGAACTGTCAGTGTTACCTGGTGACATCAGGTGCAACTAGAACCATTAGTGTTACCTGGTGACATCAGGTACAACTAGAACCGTCAGTGTTACCTGGTGACATCAGGTACAACAAGAACTGTCAGTGTTACCTGGGGACATCAGATACACTTAGAGCTGTCAGTGTTACCTGGTGACATCAGGTACAACTAGAACCATCAGTGTTACCTGGCGACATCAGGTACAACTAGAACCGTCAGTTTTACCTGCTGACATCAGGTATGACTAGAACCATCAGTTTAACCTAGTGACATCAGGTACAACTAAAACCATCAGTGTTACCTGGTGACCTCAGGTGCAACTAGAACCATTAGTGTTACCTGGTGACATCAGGTACAACGAGAACCATCAGTGTTACCTGGTGACATCAGGTGCAACTAGAACCATCAGTGTAACCTAGTGACATCAGGTACAACTAAAACCATCAGTGTTACCTGGTGACCTCAGGTGCAACTAGAACCATTAGTGTTACCTGGTGACATCAGGTACAACGAGAACCATCAGTGTTACCTGGTGACATCAGGTGCAACTAGAACCATCAGTGTAACCTAGTGACATCAGGTACAACTAGAACCATTAGTGTTGCCTGGTGACATCAAGTACAACTAGAACCATCAGGGTAACCTAGTGACATCAGGTACAACTAGAACCATTAGTGTTGCCTGGTGACATCAAGTACAACTAGAACCATCAGGGTAACCTAGTGACATCAGGTACAACTAGAACCATCAGTATAACCTGGTGACATCAGGTACGACTAGAACCATCAGTGTAACCTAGTGACATCAGGTACAACTAGAACCATCAGTATAACCTGGTGACATCAGGTACAACTAGAACAATCAGTGTTACCTGGTGACATCAGGTACAACTAAAACTGTCAGTGTTACCTGGTGACCTCAGATACACTTAGAGCTGTCAGTGGTACCTGGTGACATCAGGTACACTTAGAGCTGTCAGTGTTACCTGGTGACATCAGGTACAACTAGAACCATCAGTATAACCTGGTGACATCAGGTACAACTAGAACAATCAGTGTTACCTGGTGACATCAGGTACAACTAGAACCGTCAGTTTTACCTGCTGACATCAGGTAC